AGTTGTATCTAACTCCCCGGCCATAATTTCCATAGATTTTCAAAGTCAAATGTTTTTGTTCAGCATTTTTTCAAACTTCTTTCTCACACAGTATTGAAATGTTTCCTCCACAAGGTCCTACTGATTCCTGTGTTTTTAACTCAGAATTCAGGAGAATTGTTGCTAAAATTTGGCTAATACACAATTTTAACAATTTTTTATAAGTATACTGAAATGGATGCAAGAAACATAGATTCACTATTCTGAAGGTCTTTCAGAGTGTCCGTCACGATATAAAAAAGCATTTGATGAATACAATGGCACTTGAATACATTTGCATTGTACCTCTAGGGCAACATTTGGATGGAAATTCAAGAAGCCTTTGGTTACCGTTTTATTACCTCAAAAGTTCATTATGGAGCTGGATAATAGAAAAGGTTGGTTGAATTAGTTGCTATGACCCACTGGTGGAATGCATATGCTTTGGTCTGCTGTGTTGGCAAGAAAAGGAAGGAAGAGGGAGTGAGTATGGCCTACTTAGTTTCACTCCAAGCCTATTCTTTCTTTCATTCCCAAAAAAGTGAAGCTCCAAGTACTGGAAATTTTACAGAGGGCTTGTGAAGATGCTCAAAATTTGCCTTCTCAATGAGATGACCCTCATAAAATCCTCAAGCAGCAATAGCAGGAGCACCATATAAGCCCAAGAAAAAAACACAGCTTTAGAGGTTAGAGATTAGGGCAGGTAGATTAGGGAACTGTGTTGCAGATCCTGAGGCTCTACTTGGGACCATGAGAGCATAGAGAGGGCTGGTGTTGGCACTCATAGGACTGAAAAGATGAGTTTTGGGATGGCAGTTGGAGTTTTGGTGCGCTAACATAAATTACATCTAGTTTTATTTCTAATTTTCTAACAGTGTGATTTCCTTTCAGTTCAAATCTATATGGACCAGCTAATACACTAGTAAATAAATTAATTGTGACTGCCTTAGTGTAATACAATTCCCATTTGTATTGTTTTCCTTTGCAATCCTGTTTTGCTGCATGTATGAATCATCTGGTTCACAATCATGGATGTTTCCCGTAGCTACCCAGGGTATTCGGGGCCAAATCTCTGCCTTGTGGAGACAACAGAAATTGGCTTGCTTGGTTTGGGGTTTGTTTGTTTGTTTGTTTTAGGAATTCAAATTAAATTGGTTTTGACTGAAAGAACTGAGTAGCTGAATCATCTTGCTTTGCCTTTGTCTGTTCATGATACTCTTCAGCCAAGAATAGCTAACATTCACAAGCTCTTGAGGATACTTTTATCCTGGCCATGTGCTTGGGAACGAGACATTATAGCCATGTCTGCCTCATACAATACACTGCCAGTTCCAACTTGGATCTCCACATTACACTGTCAGTCTTCCCCCAATGACACAGAGACAGAAGCAGTTTATTTGACCCAGCCATTACCATTATCAGAACTAAGTGATCAAAGTGAAATTGGCAGGACATTAGTTTGGTACCGTCTCCACAATTTGTCAGTACCATTTCACTGAAAGATTAAAGCTAAGTATTATCACCTGGCACCTCTGGCTTCAGTATTCACCACTTACAAGTATCTGAACTGGGACTGGCTATGAAAATACAGCAGCACTTCTGTAGAATAACAGAATTATCAAAATATGCTGTTAAGAATGCAAAACACATGTTGGGATTTTCCTTTCATTCTACTAGGGTTTTGGGTTTTTTTCTGTACAAATCTATACAGAATTGATAGATTACATTTTATTTGATTCTTCTTATCTGTACTGCAAAACATAAACCGATATTTTTTTAAGAAAGAACCTAACTGTTTTCACTGAACTGTGCCTTTCCCAAGTGGTAACAAAAAAACAAACAAACAACAACAACAAAAAAACCCACAACAAAAAAAACCCCACCCAGATAACCAGAAACTGGTTACCAGTATCAACAACATAGCCATTCACTTCAAGAATGTGAACTTGTACGCTATGTATTTTTCTGCTCCGAAATGATTTCTATGAGAAAACAGAGTCTAGGACTTGATGAGGAAGGCTTTCATCTGATAATTGGAATTCTTCATTTGCATGTGCTTCCACAGTGCCTCCAGGGACTTGTATGTTCGAGTTTCTGATTCTCATTAAACACCGTGGTCAGTCTACAGTGACATCTCACAGTCATCTCTCCTAATGAGTCACTGTAATGCCTATTGGAAAGTCTAAGTGACAATGAATTGGAAAAGATATAGTCCAGCTGAAGAATCAAAACAGAGAGGAAAACAAGGGCACAAGATGTTCAAACTACCACTCTCAAGAAAACTGATGGACAAATTTACAAAGAGAAAAATTTAATTATATTTTTAAATGTGTTTTTCTTTAAGAAATAAGAAAAGTCCTGTAAAGGACACCTTATTAGAAAAAAAGGAATTGCCAAAATTAAATGTGTGTTTGTCAGGGGTCAGTGCTGTCCACTGTCCACTTTGCTAGGAAAAAAAGCAGGAATACCTATGTTCAAATACCTCCTGGGGGACTGAAACTTAAAGTGTCTGCAGCCTGTAGTTTGACACTGTAGCACAATAACCTTTATTTTTCTTAACAATAGGACTGATCTCAGGGGAAAGAAAATGAAAAAATCAGAAAGAAAGCACTTGAGAGACAAAAATGTTATTGTTTTGAACATTACAGACAGTGAGCATTCACTATTGAACTTAAGAAGTTTTGGCATTTCATTCATTACATGACCAAAATATCTGAAATATGGATAATTAATTGCTCTCAAATTTTTATGGAACACATCGAGCTATTGCTATTTGAGAAATCAAGCTCTACAAAATTATTTATAGAGCCAGTAACAAATATATGAGCAAAGCAGAAATGTAAGTAGTAGAAGTTACAGTTTTTAAACATCAGAGGCCAGAACAGGTGGTGTTAAATGGCACAGCTCCACTGTGGTCTCAGAGCAGTACTCTGACTTAGGTCAGTTCTGGATCTGGATGACTATTTGCACACAATTTGAATGCTTGTTTTCCTTGCAAGTGTATACCTTTTGAGGTTTTCAATATGTTTTGCTACAAATCCAGTAGTACAATGACACAGGTAATTTCTCGAAGTGTTTCTATTTACAGTTCCCTTCAACACTGTATGTTTTACTATGTAATTAACCGCTACCAAAGGAAGTAAAAAAACAAATAAACAAAAAACCACAGCATTAACCATTTGTCCTGGTTTTTAGCTGGGACAGGACTAGGTTTCTTTTTAGTAGCTAGAATAAGATAAAGTTGTAAAGGAGAACCTGACTGAGAGCTAATTTGACTGAAAGTCTCAGAAAGTCAGTGGCTAAATACAACAAATACCCTATCAGTAGTACAGATTGTATCTTGGATGTTCAGGCCCCACATAAGGACACTGTAATTTGAGTTACAGAATTGCTCTAACTGGGTCACGTTGTGGAGTAGAATTAACAACTATTAATTTAAGAGAGAGGAACTAAAAGCAGCAAGAAAAAATATCAGTTGCAATTACAACAAGAGACTTCATACAGATCCTTCCCATTCCTGTGTGGCTCTAGTACTATCTTCATCCACCTTCTTCCTCTTCCTACTTGCCAGAGACCCATTCTTCTTGCCAGGTGGACTGGGACACTAGCTTTTCCCATCATGAAAAACAGCAGTCTTGGTTCATACCCCTATCTGGTCTAACTATACAAGGAATAGAAATGATACAACATTCAGTCATATCGGCACACGTTAACCTGAAGTGCAACTATTCATTGTACAGCAGTACTTCTCACAATTCATTCAGTATTTTGTTTCTACAATTTAGACAACTAAAAAAAAACACTTTTATAGCCTTTCCATTGAAATTAGAGATTGCTAGCACTCATAAAAATGAAATGTGAATAGCACTGATAAAATGTAGTACAATGTAGGCAGATGATATGCAAGTGTCACCAAGAATCTCTCGTGAATGCAGCTCTATTCTCACCTGAAAGAGCCTTGCTGATATTCCTTCCATACTGCTCTGATTAGACTGTAAACACTGAAAGGGGAATAAATAGCTACCTGCATAAAACACCCACAAACTAGCAAGGAAATGGCATTTTGAGATAAAGATAGGCAGAATTATTTTTACCACGAAGGAGAAATAATTGAATTTGAGCCTGAAGGGGTTCTAAGCACACTCTATCAAGAAATTGCATGCCACAGAAAACAGGTCTGAATACCAAATGAAAGTGTGTATTCCTAGTGCCTGTTTTTATTTAAACTATGTATACGTGTGTGTATGTGTGGGGAGTTTCAGTTAACTGCTTGCACATATCAGGGAATGCAAGGAAGATCAAATCCCGTGGTGTGAAGCCACAAACCTGGGCTGCTACTATGCTGCTGACCTCCTGCAATCCACAATGGCATTTGAAACTGAAGTAGGTGTTCAGTGTCACAAGGACACTGAATTATTTATTTGAAAAATTATATTAAAATGCTAGGCATTTTGTAAAAGTATATAAGGAGTTCATTTAAAACAGGTTTTAATAACAGCTGGCAATGGACTTTTCTGACTTTCTGCTGCCTTCTCAAGATTTGTCAAACTGTCCTCCAATCACATCAGAATGATGAATAATTCATGGTTCAATTTGAACATATATTCAAGTCTAATTATGTCAGATTCCTTTCCAATTATGTTTCAATTTGTTGGACCAGTTAGTTGTAAAATCTTACTACTTAGAAATCCAGAATCACACAACACAATGAACTTTAGGACACAAAATATCTAAGATACTTTTATGCATCTTTGTCAGTCTTTACAAGAATTCATTCTGATATTGCAGTGGTGATGGAAGCACCGAGTCAGACTTGCACAACACAGAAACGTCCTGTATATGCTACAGAACTGCAGAGAAATATATTTATACAACAAAAGACATTTTCCCAGCTTCCTTATCCACAAAACAAGGGATGGTGGTAAAATATCGGTATGTGCCAACATAGCAAATGTAATAAATCAACAAAGAGCATTCAACATTTATGCACAAGTGCTGTTTTCCTCAGGGTCTCTGTCTACAAGATGAATGCTTCCTGTGATCACCGATTCCTCTTGAGCCGAGGTGTTCTCCAGCTGCTTATTTGTGCAATATGGAATGTGGCCACAAAAATACATGTAAATCCACGGGTTGGTGCAACTATTTAAATTGCCGAGGAGCATGATAATGGTGAATACTGAACCTGGAATTAAATAGTTAAAAGAATAACAGAGTAAATAAAGCACTCATACAAATATTTTCACAGTCTGCTGCTTTCTGGTGTACCTGCTCATATATTAAAGTTAATCTAATAGTAGGAAATTCACATTTATTCCATCCAGTTTGTAACTGTTGAAGGTGTAAAGTACACTGTACTGTATGCATTTCAGAGTTAAATATTTCCACATAGCTGTTTTTTATGCAGTTGCATTAAATTTAAAAGCAATTTATAACCTGCTATACAGCTATGGATAAATACAGATATAGATATTGATATAAATACATGTACAGTAAGACTCAAATTTACACTAACAGAAAGAATTCTTAAAACAAAGATTATAAGAGGTTTTTTTCACCAGACAGAGCTATTATCTTTTTTTTTTTTTCCTCCTTTGGTTTGTATCTTTGAGTTTGGAATAGGTGAACCTAAATAAAATCACATACAGAGTCTGCCTTTCACAAAGAGGCAACAGCATAACTTTGACAGGATTAATCTTGTTTACAACACGGTGTTCTTTGATATCCCTCTCAGGCTTGCTTTTTTTGCTTTATAAACAGCTATTTTATGACTTTTAATTGTTTCATAGTGTACTACAGAGATTTTGTCCATATTATTTCAATATTCAAAAAAACCCCCCAGATTTCTTGTAACATCAATGTTCTATCCAGTAAATAAGAAATCTTTATTTTGTTACTTTGAGTAGTTAACTGTTCCTTCTCATCTCAAGAATTCAAAATATATATGCTATAACATTGAAAATCTCTGAAAGTCTGAACCCTTGCCAGAGCAGATGATACTTTTACCTGTGCTGTTTATTAATCTTTAAATCATTAATCACTCAAAACACACACTTACATGATGTTTTGGTCATAGAACACATGAAGTTCTCTGTACCTCATTAAATATAGTAGATAATCAATCCAAGATTTTCTTTTTAATCATACTCAAATGATCACATGTAACTCTTATACAAAAGCAAAGTGCAAATACAAAGCAATATAGCAATGTGCTAGTCTTCTATGAAGTTATGAATGAGGATGGAGAGTATCTTACCTTCAGTCACGACACTGGGGAACCACACAGACCACAGCTGTGCAATGAAGAAAGGTGACCAACAGAGAACATAAGCAACCACTGTAACCACTGTCATTTTTACAGTCTTGATCATAGCCTTTGATATACAGTTCACACTGCTTGCTCGGGATGGCAGGACTTGCTTCTGATTTGTTACTTCATATTCATTTTGTTTTTTCACATATATATTTCTTTTGATTATTTTGCAAATCTTAACCTGACACGTGATAAGGATGGATGAGGGAATGAAGAATATAACTACAAAAATCCAAGTCACATATGCCCTTGGGCCCCATGGCTGAATAAATTCACCCCAACATTCAAAGATACCTGGAGATATTTCAGTCTTAGAAAAGATAAATACCTGTGGTAGGCTAAGAATCAGTGATATAGACCAGCTGGTGCAAATGGGGATGTTCCAGAGAGCTCTCTTCTTTTGGAAAGTGACCATAGGGTAGCAAACTGCTTGATATCTGTCCACTGTCATGACCACTATCATATAAGTAGAGGCAAACATGCCGAGCAATTGTAGATACTTGATAATTCTGCACAAGAAATCTGGCCCTATGAAAACGTCTGTAATATCCCAAATGAGTTGAGGCAGCACTTGAAAAAAGGCTACCACTAAGTCAGCAATGCTGAGGTGAAGCATGAATACATACATCCTAGAGAGCTTCTTTCTTCTTCGCCACAGCACCAGTATGAGAATAAAATTGCCCACAGACGCTGTCACAAATATGACCCCCAGTACAGCAATCTCTACTTGAGCTAATTGCTCATCTCTTTCTGGTCTTCCAGCAGGATCTGACTGATTTGTAAAACTCAGGAATCTGTGAGGAGAAGGACTCTCGGTCTGATGTGTGTTATCCTGCATAGGAAATGAAAAATTCTTCATAGTGCACAGAAGCTACTTACAGTAGCTGCTACTTGCGACTCAGGTTGACAGCTGTGAAGTACCAGCTAGCAAACAAACCAGCCGGGTTCAGGTTTCTGTATATCTTCAAGCAAATATCCTCCTGCTTGTGTGAACTAAAGCAGTGGGACCTGGATCCTGATAAAATTCTCTCTCTTGCTGGCATGTAAAAAGGCTTTATATAGGCTCCCAGCCGAGCCTTATGTAACTGCCGAGCCCTCGGGTAGGCTGCAGGGACCGCAGCCAATGGCAGACCGAGCCACACAATTGGGGGAAATATATAAATAAAAGGCAAACTTCAGAGAGACAGCGTAATTCAATTACTCACTTCAGTCAAAACCCGAACTTGTAAACAGCTGTGGCCAAAATAGTACTGAAATGATCTTACTCAGGAGAGTTCTTGCAAATGTTTTTTTACGCAAACCAGAAGTGCACGCTTCGGCTGAAGCAGGAGGAATGTTTATACGTAGACGGAAAGTTGGGCCCCTGAGCTCAGGCACATCGTAACTGCAATTCTCTAGGCTCCTGGGGCACGACCACATCCTAAATGCAGCAGAGATGAAGAAATGCATTTTTCCATAGTTTGGTTTTTTTTTCTCCCTTCTCTTTCTTGGAGTTACCTAATTCTAAAAAAAAAAAAATACATCTGAACTGCCCTAAAAATAATATTTTTATTTCAAGACAGGGTCAAGACTTAGAGGTTTTTTCTCAGCAAAATGAAAAATAGCACATGTGAAATAAATTACTTTTAATGGGACTGCAAGTCTACTGAGAATTTAATAGAAAAATAAGTGAAAATTTGGTGGGAAATCCAACTGAGGAAAAGGTCTCTACGATACAAATAATTTCCAAGGGTCTTTATTCTACTATAGTGCTAAAAGCTGGGAGGTCATTTTTCAGTACCTAATGCTTTTTATTTTTGTGGAGTAAGTTGTATCATAAGCACAAGTTCAACAAGATCTCTGAGAACGTCCAGCTCTCTTCCTAGGCCTACACACGTACAGAGCAGACAGCGTCTGGGCAGCAGACGTGCTATAATAAGTGTCAGACCCAGCATGTGGACATAGGTTAATGGGCAAGCACACTGCACGACAGGTAGCCTTTGCCATGTTATAAAAAGGGAGGTGGTTCTCCTTGTACAAATTGTCCTAGCAACGTAAGACTCTATTCCATCCTCTATATAGTCAGTTCAATACATGCTCATGGTTTCATAACTTTATAATTGTGCTCTTTCCATCTTTTTCATCCACGCTAGCAGATATTCAGAATAATGTTATCTTGAAATTGAATCCACTCTGGGAATATAACTCGCTGAGAAAAGAAAAACAGGATAACAGATGAAGATGTTTAAGTAGTCTTAGCTGTTCTCTTACTCCAATACTGTCCTTCTCCTGTTGCCCAGTTTTGCTTCATTCCAAATCATATCTGTCCAAGTTGATTTTTTTTCCTAAATTATTTACTTTCAGTAGTATGGGAAGGCACATTTTAATTAACTTGTGCTGAATTTCTCAGTGTGGGCTCTCATCTAATGGTGAGCTAACAGGGAGGGATTCAGCTCATGGATTAATACTTAAATTTAAGTGTCTGCTTAGAATCACACAACTGCTCAAGGCAGGGACAACACTGAATTCAGAGCAGTTCACTTAGGGTTTGTCCAGTCAGGTCTTGAAAACCTCCAAGATCTTAGACCCCAAAATCTCCCTGGGTAACTGGTTGCAAATGCTTAATTATTTTGTGAAAAAGCTTTCCTTACATGCCACCAGACCCTCCCCTGATTCTGACCATTTTCTCATTCTTCTGCCATGACTTCAGTAAGAGCCTGGCTCGAACATCTTGCCAGCCTCCTTGTAGGTACCAGGAGGTACTGCTAGGCCCCCCGAAGGCATTTTACCTCCAGGCTGAACAAGATGTACTGGGAGCCTTGTGGAAAATGTTGCATTCAAGGAGTTAGTGATCTTGAACAGGATATATCTGAGCCTTGTACTTCAAGCCTGTGCTGGTGCTGGTGAATGTTATGACACAGATGACATCCTGGCCTATCAGGAGATGACATACAATTGTTTGCTACACAAAATAAAAGGCTCCACAGCATGGAAGGAAGGACAAACCCCTCCACAGATGGCACCTGTGCAGTGTGCTGGGGGAAGATCCATCTGCATGTCAGATGCTGCACAAAAGCAGGCTTCCCAGCATTGGAAGGGACCCAAGATTTCCTCTCTATTTAAATTTCTGGTTTTACCTTATCTTATGAAAACAGCTATTCTACCACACCCTTTATTGTCACACCCCCCTGGTGCAGAGCACGAGTCCAGCTCACTGAGCCTTCCCCACCAGGTTACATCTTCCAGCCCTCTGATCATCTTCATGGCCCTATACTGAGCGCACCCAAGCTCCTAAACACCTTTCCTGTCCAGGGGCTCCACAACCAGAGGCAGTATTCCAGATGTGGTATGATGAGTGCTGAGTAGAGGGGAATAACCACTTCCCTTGACCTATGGATTACATATGAGCTGTGTGTGTCAACTCCTGTCACATCCAAAGGAAATCAAGGCTTCAGTTCAGTGCCTAAAGGTAGGTACATGCCCGAGGGTATACTGAGATGGCCCAAGACTTGTTTAGCAGAGGCTTTACCCTATTGTTACGTTAGGACTGTGGAACAATTTAACTTTCTAACATATTTCCATGTAGTTTCCTCAGTGTATTATTTTTAAGTATTATCTTGGAAGATGAGATATTGCCTAGTTTTTTGTTATTGTTGCAATTCACAAAATCCCAGCATTATCTAAATAATAATTTCTTCACCCTTCCTCTGGCATTTGATACTTTAAATCTGTGGTACTGTGAAGTAATCCACCTGAATTTACTGAGGTTATACAAGATGTAAATCAGGTAATATTTTCTGAACCTGTAGCTCGGTAATTAGTTCAGGTCACTTTATTGTTCAAGGAGATTTTTTCAAAACCAGGATTTAGGCAAATCTCAGCCACAATTTCTCCTGTGGCAACAATACTGACTATACTAGCCTGAACAGCTTAATCACACAATCACAGCATCATAGAGATATAGGTTGGAAGGGACATCTTGAGGTCTTCCTCCAGAGCATAACTGCCTACTGAAGAGGGACTATCTCCATCACTAGTTCAGGTCGGATACAGCTGCATCCAGTCAGGTCTTGAAATCCTTCAGGTATGGAAATTACACCTCTCTGAGTAGCCTGTTCCAGTGCTCTTGGTGAATAATTACTTCCTAAAGCTCATTCAGACCCTCATACAGTGGCCATTGTCCCTTATTAGGTCACTTGCCACCACTGAGAAGAATTTGGTTCCATCAAGTCTGTAGCTGCTCCTGAAGTACTTGTAGGCTGGTATTAGATATATCCTTAACCAAATTTTTGCCAGACTAAACAATCCTTGTCTTCCAAAATCTGCATGAATTGCAGTGCACTGCAGATGTGTTTTGCCAAGCCAGGCAAGGAATATATGCTGAAGCAGAAATACATGCATTTTAGTGTTAAAAACCCACCACCAACTTCTAAAAATCAGCAACTGTTTCATCTCATGGCAGACATTAGTTATCAAATACAGCTTGTGAAGATAAGAGGTTTGCACTCTTTTACTTTGGAATGCATAAAAACCTTTTAAAAAGTTCCTATTTAAGAAAAGATCAAATGAAAAAAAAAAAAAAAAAAGAAGAAGCTGTCTGCTTTTGACTTAAGAAATCCAGGTCTGTCTCTTTTCTCTGTGAGATTCTGTAGATCCAAAGAGCTAGTAGATTATTGCTACTGCACTTGTTAAGTAATGAAAAACAATTAACTAAGAAAACCAAATTATTGCATGGTTGGCTACATTTCTAGAGGACTTTAGAGAAATAAAAAAGTATTTTTTTAGTGCTGATGTGTTTCTATTTCTTTTCAAACATTAAAATGTAAAAAACAGCTACCTTAGGTTATGGGGTGGAAAGGGTTGGAGTATGCAGCAGAAGATTCAGCTGTCAAGAAGATGGTAGATACACAGATTTCTTAATTTATTTTTATAGAAAATATTTATTTAGTATTATATTCTAGGGTAAATAAAAAGAATTAACAGAGTATTGCATTGAAATTACCCTAGTGATAGAGAAAATGTTCTAGGAGATGTATTAAATAATGTGAACACATAACAGTAGCATGTAATGTAACAAGAACTCCTTTTGGAAGTAGTATAATAGCTAGCAAATGGATTCTTTCATATAGGAGGTTAGTGAAAGTTACACATGAGTATTGTTCAAGGGTTTAGCCTGTAGCATGGATGCATGTATCGCCAGGTAGATCCATATTTCTCAGTATTAAAATAGTGCTTATTTCCAGATACAGTGGATAAACTACTTCACTTATGTCATCTTCAATGGACTAAAATTATGTAGCCCTTTCTGCTACTGTACTGGTACAACCTCCTACAGTACTGGTTTCTTAAAGAAAAGAAACCACATCATTAATTCAAAAGTTATATTAACACACAAGATTCTTTGGAACAGGATTAATGATTCACTCCAACCCTATATAGTTAGAAAGTTCTTAGAGAGGGTCTGTGGAACTGAAGTAGCCTGAAATGCAACAGCTAAAGCCATGACACGAGAAGACACAAAATGATGAATAGTGTCAATAACTCCATTCCTTATAAAGAGTTAAGCTTTGATTTGGACAAAAACACTTTCAGGCAGGAAAAACTTTTATGGAAGCCAAAAGACAGCCACCTGAATATTAGCCAGCAGTGTGCCCAGGTGGCCAAGAAGGCCAACAGTAAACCTGGCCTGTATCAGAAATAGTGGGGCCAGCAGGATTAGGGAAGTGATTGTGCCCCTGCACTTGGCGCTGCTGAGGACACACCTCGAATATTGTGTTCAGTTCTGGGCCCCTCACTACAAGAAGGACATTGAGGTGCTGGAGCGTGTTCAGAGAAGGGTAATGGAGCTGGTGAAGGGTCTAGAGCACGTGTCTTATGAAGAGCAGCTGATGGAACTGGGGTTGTTTAGTCGGGAGAAAAGGAGGCTGAGGGGAGAGTTTATTGCTCTCTCTAACTACGTAAAAGGAGGTTGTAGCGAAGTGGATAGGAGGCTGAGGGGAGACTTTATTGCTCTCTGTAACTACCTAAAAG